GTATGGGGATTTATCACTGCTGTCTATGGGAATTTATTTGTAGTGGTGCACCCATAGGAGGATACAAGTGGGAATAGTGCGTTGGAGTAGAATCCTCCTGCCCTCACTACTAAAACTCACACATTGGTCTAAGCTCCACCCAGACACCACCCAGCCACCCAAACACCCACTCAAAGACCAAGCCGCCCACTCTCACGCGCACTGAAACCTTGTTCGTCGTGCCAAATTTTGTTTTTGTTGCATCTAGAAAGACCAACAGGTGACACTAAATATTTTTTTAAAATAGCAATCTTAATCTGTAGTCCAATTAAACATTATGGCCACCACTTATAAGTACTGAGCTGGATCTGCAAGCAAAAACTTCATTCACAACAACGGCAAACGTTTTGGCAATATTCACGAGATAATTCATACTCTTCCTCCTCCTAGAATCTGTGGTAGCCGCATGTGCACGTGCGTCAGGTAAAAAGATTATTTGTTACATAAAGTTTAATGCGCGTTACGTCTCATGCGCTCGTGCGCGTTTCATACATACGCGTAGGCGTCAGCGTGGTTCTAAGTTACTCGAGCGTAATGCGGCAATTATACGCACCTGGCGTCCCCTCTATCTAGTTCCACTTTTGATCTCTATGGTGGTATAGAGCCTGAAGTTGACCCCTAACGGCGCCTTTCCGGAACCCTCAGATAGGAAAAATAACGTGCAAAGATTTTGGAATTTGTAATACTTTATTCGTTCAGTTACTTCTTCAAAAATCAAACTCTGAAAAGGGGCTTCGGAAAATATTTACTTGTACATCAATTTACAGAAACTGAAAAATCACCTGACCTAAAAGAGAAATATCCGGCTAACTTTCCGAAAATCTAAAATACGTATATAAAGAGCAGTGCAATGAGGCAGTCTCGTACGCAGATGAATGGTTACTGTTTGAAATTTTATGGTCGTCCGTCGGTAAAAGCTGAAATAAAACAGATCCATATTTTTACACAGTCTTATAATTTATAAGTGATAAACGTAAAGCAATATTCTACTTCAATTACGAATTATTCTAATCTTTTATCTAACCTTGGCTGACAACAACTGCGTGATGTGAACTCAACTGAATCCGGAACACATCGAGTGCAGGTGGGTAAATCTTTGCAACGTTGTACAATCTCATTTTTAAGCACGGGCAGTGAAAACAAACTTACATGAACATGGAAACCTAGGTACGACATCGCTGGAACGGAAAGGTCGTTAAGAAAATTTGTTTTTAGCTATCTCCATGTGACTTTTGCTAAAAAATTTCTTGAGGGAAACAAAGGTAAAATCACCATAGGCGCCATTTGAGTGTGAACGTTAATGCATAGCTGCAGACATACCGGGTGTGCTTGCCTGTCGCGGCGCACGGGCCTGTTGCGTTAACATAGCGTATCCCTACCCAAATGGCGCCTATGAAATAACGTTTTACACGTATTCGTATGCGCAGCAGTGAATTGCCGGAGATCGATGGCAAATCAAGTTTGGTAGAAGCAGCAACTTTTGACATGTAAGTCTCACTTTTTAGTTTCCGAAAGTTTCTTGTTCTTTATTATGTTTGACTTCAGGCTAGGCCTAGGCCTATATAGTAGGAAATTTATGACAGTCTATCTAGCCTATCAGGCTTTGTTTATGAGACTTCACAATATAGAAGTTGAGACCGTCTGAAATATTACTTATTGGCAGAAGTGGTTTGAAAATGAAAGATTAATTTGACATGACATTTGACATTTTCAGACATTTATATCCTCTTCTAATAATAGCGATAGGCCTACGTGATACAGTATTAAATGGTCATAAAGTATTAAGCAAACAAATGTATTGAATAATCCTAAAGAAGGCAAGAAGAATTTCAGCGCATTTTTCCTGTATGTATAAAATTTAAGACCTTATTTTATTTCATTGATGAATTTTTTCTGTGTTGGCCCATCGAAATCAGACGGGAAAATGCGTGGACAATTTGGACCGCATATTTACCGAGAAACCTATTGTGGGTCTTGGTGGAATTCTCAAAGTTGTACACACTGAACAAATTAATTACGATTGAACCAACCCAAAGTGGAAATATTGCCAAAGCAAGACCGTAGACAAAAGATGTGAAACATGAATAAAAAACAGGTTTATTTATCGATTTTGAGTGGGTTATTTAATAAGAAACTGGTCAGTTGATATTGAAAATTATGATGTTCTTGCATTTCCTGTTTATTCTTTTTTTTTTTTTAAAGGTTTTGTCTATAATCAATTTTGACTAAATGCTCAGCATACATGTATACAGCGTCATATTACCCCCCTTAAACGCAACGCGTCGCCATTGTGTGGCCGCGCATTTTGTGCACAAACAGTGCGCGATGTTTTATCCAGTTTTTTTAATGGGGATCAATCGACACAATGGATATAATACCAAAGACCGTATAGCGGCGCAAGATTGAGAACTTCACTATTAATATACACTTCAACTTTTTCCCCCCAAATGTTTCCATTCCTGGTATAGAATTCAGTTTTCTTCGAAATATGACGATTGAAGTAAAGTTTTTGAAATCTCCGTTTGAAAGTGCACGCAATAAAATTCGCAACGCTCCTTAACCTTCCTGAAATGGTGCATACGCGGACAGTCTTTTAAGTTGAAGAGGGATGCATTTTCAAAATAGCTACTTTTTTCGGGCAGTGAAATTTCCTTCGTTTTAGTGGTCGTCTGTGGGGGTGAAACTTTCTCAAAAATTAATCTGTCAACCCACTAAAATCTCAAAGGAAAATGAAAGAGGACGTGTCGAACATCGTTTTTCTGTACAGCCTGAACACCTATGAGAGTTATGAGTATTTAAAAAATATTTGCGAAGTATGCATGGGGATTTATCACTGCTGTCTATGGGAATTTACTTGCTGTGGTGCACCCTGTAGCGGTGCGAACGTCCGAAGCAAACGTTCACCAACTTCACCATGAATACGCGTAAAACGTTGTTATCGCATGGTCGTCATTTGGGCAGGAATAGGAATAGGTGCAGGCTTGGCGCCGCGACAGGCAAGCACATGTGGTATGTCTGCACCCACAGTGATAGCACGCATTGATCTCCATTTAGGGGTCCAGTCCACTAATTTAAGCCCCATTGAAAACAATGTAAAATCAGCACCGTTCAGGGCCCAGTAGCATGCACGCCAACATCCCTGAGATTTCTGAAACACAAATGAAATTCTTGTCTGG